TAAGGTTATAAGTGCCCTAATTGGGGCTATAGTTATAGTTGCCTCTAGTTACTAAGTCCCATGATCCTTTAAGTAGCCAAGTAAGCAGCCTCTAGCTTGATCGGGTGATGTAAGAACCTCATGAAGAAACCCTGGCCCTGTAACCCCACAAAATCAGAATAGTATAAGGCCCCTAAACCCTAAACCCTAAACCCTAAACCCTAAACCCTAAACCCTAAACCCTAAACCCTAAACCCTAAAGTATAAGGAACCCAAACAAAAACCATCAGGTTCCCATAACAAGACAATCGCTTCATTCTCCCAAAGCTTCGTTTCAGTTCCACAAGGACACTGGGCGGATAATACAGAAGCCCTAAATAACTACCAATATTACCGTTAGGGTTCCTCACTATAACTGAGGGTTCCTCACTATAACTATAAAGGAGCCCAAAGCCCTAGTCTAATTTTTAAGGCCCCTATACCCTAAACCCTTATAGTAGCCCGTATCGAACCCTTTAAGGAACCCTTTAAAGGACCTCAAAGGAGCCCCCAAAGCCCTATTATAATTATTAAGGCCCCTATACTGCGACCCAAAAGCCAGAAAGCCCTACACCCTCAACCCTAAACCCTAAACCCTAAACCCCAAACCCTAAACCCTGAACCTTAAACCCTGAACCCCACACCCGAAACCCTAAACCCCAAACCCCAAACCCTAAACCCCAAACCCTAAACCCTAGACCCTAAACCCTAAACCCGAGATCCTAGGCCCCTACAGTAAGATGTTCTTCAGGGCCAAGGTCTGAGGTCCCCTGGGAGCAGCGGGGCGTCCCTGCCTTTAAGGGTTTTAAGGGTTTCAGTTAGGGCTTTTGGGTTTAAGGGTTTCAGGGTTTAGGGGTTGAAGGGTTTAGGGGGTTAAGGGTTTAAGGATTTAAGGATTTAAGGTTTCAAGGGTTTAAGGGTTTCCGCGTTTAGGGGTTTAAGGATTTAAGGGGTTTAGGGATTTAGGGGTTTAAGGCTTTAGGGGTTTAGGGGTTTGAGGGTTTCAGGGTTTAGGGTTCGAGTTTGCAGGATTTGTGTTCAGACCCCTCGCACGAAAGCTGGTGCCGCAAGCCAAATCTAGACCCTTATAGAGCCCTTGCGAAACCCTGACAAAGCTGTGTATTCATAGTGTATAGTGAAGTACTCTGTGCTGTGAACCGCAGTCATGAGATGCATGTACATGGTTGTAACGATACATATCGTATCCCGGCGATTACTTAAGAACCTCCCTGTATCTCATGATGCGAGAACAGGTTGAGTGTGAAGTATTCTGTGCTGTGAACCGCAGTCATGAGATGCATGTACATGATTGTATAGATGTCCGCTGCCATAGGGCCCTTGAGTCAACAGATTAGCTGTGCAGTCTTGGCGAAAAAGGCACCAGTTCTGACTGAGTTCAGATATACCTTAATACATCATAGTACATTCGAATTTTTCTGGTATATTCTAGTATAGTCGGCATGATGATTGTATAAATTAGTATATTTCACTATATATGAGAGTATAGGACGCCTGATACAGCCCTGAATTTTGAGCCTGGGAGGTCAAGAAGGGTGGCAGTGAGCTGGAGGTGCTGGCCGCTCAGAACGAGACGCAGCTGAAGGACCGGACAGTTTAGGGTTTAGGCCGGCATATGCAAGTCTGTGCAAAAGGCTTAGGGTTGATAAGGTCTCATGGGTTGGTTTAATTTGGTCTTATGGGTTAGTTTAGGGTTCCGGGATCGGGTCCTACTATGGGTTGGCTAGGGGTTTAGGGTCGATAGGGTCTTATGGGTAGAGATGGCTCTGCTCTCAGGATGTTTTATTACTGCTGCGCACCGTTTCGCGTTGCGAGAATATTCGCAGGCACCCAGAGCCGTAAAGCCCTGAAGTCCTAAACCCCAAACCTGACACCCACCATTAGTCTTGCAAGTTGCAGTTTTAGCAACACGCGTCTCCTGGACGTCTCTTCATGCGCATATCAGACATGTCTTCATTCCTCTGTCGTGCATCTACCCTCAAACCTGAACCCTGGACCCTAAGTGAACCGATCAACGAAGTTGTTCGGTTGTGTTCGACAGCGAAATGCAGACAGAAACCTGTTTGTTCAAGGAAACCGGGCTGGCCAGGGTCCTCGCCGTGAGTTTTGCCGTTGTGAGTGTATGGTTTCTTTTTCAACTTCAGCTGTGGTGTTTGTTGTTGCTTGCTTGATTGTCCACTTCGTATTGCTCCATTGAAGCAGCATGCCCTTTGCCATTTCTCCTTCCATGAGAGCAGCTTCAGCACCTGCACCAGCACCGGAGCACCAGCAGCGGCATCATCATAAACCACGCAAGCCCTCTTACAACCACCCAGACGAGCCACCGGCACCGCCACTACATCAAGAAACAACTAATGTAGGGGCCTTTATAACTAGAATAGTGTTTTGGGGCCCATTATACTATTATTGAAACCCCTACATTGCCATCGTCGTCGCCCCAACCCTCACGGGTCCGATCCTCATCCTCATGCTCTTCCTCCTTCCCAGCATCCTCGTCCTTGCCACTGCCATCGCTTGCCTCCGAAACCCCAACCCAGACCCCCGGAAGGATCTGGAAAGTAGAGCCCCTAATTTGGGATCCTAATTACTAAAGGGTTCTGTATAGGACCACTCTTTCCGGGGGTCTGGGAAGCCACTACCCAGATGAGCAGGGCCTCAAGCGTCTCGAAGATGAGAAGGGCCAGCTCAACAAGCAGTTGGAGGCCCCGAATGTAGGGGCCTGAATAATTACCAATCATATTTCTAATATTGTTTTGGGGTTCCTTATTAAAAGTGTAGTATAATGGGCCCTAAAACCCTATTCTAATTTTTAAGGCCCCGAAAAGCCATTCCAACGCATCCCACGAAGCAAGGGGCTTTGCGGAGTGCGGGTGCAACCGAGACCATCGACTCCTTCACATGCTTTTGCTCGTTTTACATCCGCGTCCCAGCATAACGATCCACCGTAGTTCGAACAATAGCCAACTGCCGTAGCCCTAGCCTGATCCAATCGGCATTCCTCACGCTAACTGGCGCTCCTGAATGTTTGCCTGATGCTCAGCTCCTTGTGCATCAATGCACGGGTAGGCGAAGCCCCTGCTAGTCCTGTACCAGCCGGAAATTCAGAAACCAAGCCTGGGTATTTATTAAGGACTTTTAGAGGTCATGGGGCCCTTGTGCTCTTTCAGGTGGTGAACCCGCCGACAGCAAATGTGCAGTAATGTGGAGCAGGTGCAAGAAAATCCAAGTTGCCGTGCACGCGGCCACGATGGTGCAACACGTGGCTGTGGCAGGGGCTGCTGCTGCTGCTGCTACTGCTG